TTCAAAGGAAGAGAGGCAAGAAGACGGCCAAGTTCGCCGGAGGCGGAGATGGCGAGGCATTGAAGAGGCCGAGGGGCAAGACCAACTCCAAGGTGGACGATGTACGTGGTGCCTCATCCATGGCCTTGCATGAGACTTTGCATGGCATGATGTCTCAAAAGGATGCGAGGGACGAGAAGAAGCGGCAATGCAAAGACGAGCAAATGAAGAAATACCTAGAATTTCAAAGGAAGAAGCTGGAGATGGAGGAGGCGGCCAAGAAGAGGAAGATCGACTTGGAGGAGGCGTCCCGGCAAAGGCAGCTCGACATCGAGGCCGCCAATGTCATGATCAGGCAGAGGCGGCTCGACATCAAGGCCACCAATGTCGCAACGAAAGCAAAGGAGGTGACCCTTGCGATCATGAGTGTGGACTTGACCAAGATAAGCGAGAAGACGAGGAGATGGTTTGAGGCCAGGTAGAAGGAGATGTTCGACGCCGACGACCTGAACTAGGTCGTCCGATCGACCGTGATCGTTCTTTTTTGGAGGCTGGCATGGGTGCCGCCCGCTGGGCCGCTGGCTGTGTGCCGGCGAGAAACACATTCGCTTTTGAAGGCTGTCTGTGTTGCCGGCCGCTGGCTGTGTTGCCAGCGAACGAAACTATTCATTTTGGAGGCTAGGTGTGTTGTCGGCGAGGACGTGTAGGCCGCTAGCTCCGTTACCGGCGTGAACTAGGGCCGCTGCCCTAAACTAGGGCTTGGTACTTGTTTTTAAAATGGAGGCGGACAAGATGGGGCCAAAGAATGTGGCCGCGCGCTGGACGCACGACCACCGTATCTCAGAACAGGTCCGGACACGACCCTATGGGCCTATCAAAGCAAAGTGGACGTTCGTTCGAGGTCGCGAGGTAGAGTTGGCCTCGTTGGGTCCATCCAATGGGCCTTCTTAGTGCGTTCTTTTTCTGGACACCTTAAATTCCACGCCCTCCTCCTGGCCTCCTCCACTTGCCCGGCGAATCTAACCTTCATCCTGCTCGTGACACCGCCGGCGGGTCGACTAGCCTCGGGTTCCTCCCACCCCAAACCCCACGAGGCTGCCGCCGCCATCTGTCGTCCATGTCGCAACCGCTCAATTCCTCCCGGGATGCTTCCAATCCCCGTAAGCCCCATTTCTTGATTTCACGTTCCGTACCTTCTCTTGGGCGACAACTACCATACTTCAAATTTGATCTCAAGAATCTGCATAGCCATCTTAGACTAGTATAGATGGTTTCTTGTGCTACTATGAATCGCTCAGATGGCCGCATAAACCTAAGGATTTTGGAGCTATTTGCAAATCCGAATAGTGTTAGTAGTCTCAGTCAAAGGATGGTTTCATCTGAGTTGAAGTTACTCCTATATCCTTGTCACAGAAGAGAAGATACATGAAGCTAATTTTGAGTCCAAACTGTTGACACCGTGTGGTTTTATGAAACAGCTGCTACACACAGGGTATTGATAACGAACAAGCATAGAGAGAAACTTGTGGGGCTGCTGCATCCCACGGGTTTGAACAGGATTGTAGTCTTGTGCCATGGCTTTACGGCCTCCAAGGTACATAACTATTTCGTGACCACAATAAATTCGCCTTGTCCACTTCAAGATTAGGGCCGCTAAGGCCAGGTTTCATTTTGCTTATGTGAGATGCAGCGAATTGAACCGTTGGAGTAGTAGTTTTTACTACCCTTCTACTGACGTTTAACACTTATCTTCAGAGTTCTGGCGTTATTGTTGATCTGGCAGATGAATAATAAAATAAGGGATTAGTGTCTTTCGCTTTGACTTTAGTGGAAACGGGTAAGTTACTCATAGAATCCTGGATATGCTGTTGCTTGTATTTTCACTAAAGTTGTTGTGCTAAATGCTAGTCTAGCCTTTTCTGAAAGTCTTTATAACTGAATGAGCTCAGGTTCATGTATGACATATACTATCATTTTGATCCTCTGGTTTTATTTTATCTGTTAGACCTGCACCTTTTTCATGGACAAAAATATGGCAGAAATTCTTTTCCATTTAAATTTTACGAATTGCATTTTTGTTGTTTTAATATATATTTGTTGGTACACAATTTTTTCAATAAACTTTATTTGAAATAGGCATATGCATGGTTTCTAACCTCATTCATGTTGTCCCTTTGATCATATTGCTTTTCAGAGAGAGCGAAGGCGTATTCCAGTATGGCAATTACAGGAAAGAGGCTGAAGACTTGCATTCTGTTGTCTCATATCTGTATCAGGAGAAGTATGATGTAGCAGCTGTTGTTGGTCACAGCAAAGGTTGGTGATATACGTTGTTTGGTTTGTATAGTTGTGTTTATTATTGCAAGGAAATCGTTTATTTTCAGTCGGATGATAACAGCGACACATAAGTCGCCTCGTCCTAGCGACGCGTGTCCCCACGTGGACCGGCAACGCGCACGGCTTATCCCCTCCGCGTGTCCCCTGTTTTCCTCGTCTTCCACCACTCACCGCTGAAATCTTATCCGCTTGTTCAAATCCCCATCTCCTTCCGACGCAGCAACAGCAAGACACCATCGGCCACCGGCCTGTCGTCACCGGCGGCAGCCACCGCTGCAAGAGCCAACCAATCGCCACCAGCTGCTGCAATCGCTCCACTTGCTTCCTCTCTTTTCTTTCTAGACGCAAGCACATCAGCGTTGCGAGCCTGCGACCCACGATTTCGCCGTCGATGAGGTACGCTGCAACGTGAATCTCGCCATGGCGGCGGATCTACAGTGCAGCAAGCTGCACACAACTCGTGGAGCCGGAGCCCATCGGCGCTGCATTGGAGCTCCGCCGGAGTTGCGATGGAGCTTCGCCGGAGGCCTCGGTGTTGCGTTGGAGCTCCGTCAGGGCTGCAATGGAACTTCGCCGGAGCCGTCGGCGCTGCCTTGGAGCTCCGCCGGAGTTGCAATGGAGCTTCGCCGGAGCCATCGGTGCTGCGTTGGAGCTCCGCCGGAGTTGCAATGGAGCTTCGCCGGAGCCGTCGGCGTTGCGTTGGAGCTCCATCCGGGCTGCAATGGAAGTTGGCCGGAGTTGCAATGGAGCTTCGCCGGAGCATCGGTGCTTCGGTGGAGCTGCAATGGAGCTCGCCAGACGCCCTCGGCGCTTCGTTGGAACTCCGCCGGGGCTGCGATGGCACCGTGTTGACCGTGTCGAAGCTGTCGCGCTCGCTGCTGCTGTGGCGCTGTTGTGATCCAACGGTCACCAGCACGCTAATCCAACGGCTGAATAGGCGGATGATTTCTCTAAGAAATCATCCGGCTGAATAGGCGGCACAATAATTATTAAGTTGTTTCATTGAATTTTATCATTAGCACGTGGAAGAGCTTGTTTTGTTTTTCAGCAACTTGCACATACACTCTGCAAAAGTGAAAATGGTGGAGTCTCTTGCCTGCATATGTAGTCCATTAGTCATAACATTAAAATCTAGTTGTGACATCTCCGTAAGATTGGTTTCTGCTGGCACTATATGTATAATTAATTGGATGTCCTTGTCTGTTTTACCTATAAAACATATTCCATTTGCACATCCTGAACTTCTGCACAGTGAGACACGCACAACATATTTCATCTAGTAATTGCTTTTTGGGGTCACACTTTTTTTTTGAATGGTCAATGTGGGAAGTGGATCGTCACCTAAATATATTCAACCGATTTTGCCTAGAAGCCTCACGGCTCCATACAGGATAGGTTCAAGTGAACCAGAGTACACAGGGGGAACAAGGGGAGAAGAGACACAACCGAAACAACACACCCGCGCCTACAGCCGAACCCCAGAAACTGCCAAAGAAGAGCACACAGGGAGAAATTGGCCGCTCAACAATACCAAGCACTGTCGTTATCAGGCCCCGAGAAGCTCAAACCACTGACGACCTGAAGCCGGACGCACTACCACCACCAACCGCCATCACAAATCTCATCGGCACAACCAGCATAGAGGGGCACTTTAACTTCCATCTTCATCTGACCAAGCAAGGCATCCTGAGAAAAGAACATCCTCTTTGCGGTTTTTGCCCAGATTTCCAGCACTCCCTGGACAGTAGCAGTAACAAAGGAGTCATCTACATTTAGCTTAGTCCAACCCTGATCAGGTTGCTCAGATATCTATCACTAGGAATACCATGAATTCCCTAAACAGTTAATCACAATACTTTTGCTGGCAGTATTTTATTCGCTCACTGCTGCATGCCAAGTATAGGGGTACGGCTCCGAGAAGCAAGGGTAGGCCGGCAATGTTTCTGGGGATGAGAGGGAGAGAAGGTTGGCCACTGGGATTAGTTTTTGCTCTCTCATTTCTTGGATAATTCATATTGGAGTACATGCCTACACAATATTTATATCCTTTTAATAGGGAAGGCTGACTTGACCCCTAAGAATAGGATCCCTAATTGCCTAACACACCACATTGTTATCTTCCTAACTAAGTCACTTCTTCCCCAACTAAATATATCTTTTATATCATTTTCCTTGTCTCCAACGGAGTTAGGGGCCAGATCATAATCCCTGAGGGCACCTACAATGCCGTTGCCTTAGCATGCCACATAGGATGATTGCTGAGTTGGAAGAGAGAAATGAAAACAAGATGCTCGAATTGTCATAGCGAAGAGATTTCTCGGTATGAAAGATATGGCATTTTTCTCCATTGTAGGGGATGTCTCATCCTAGTCAAATGTTTTCTAGTTTATTTTAATCACCATAATGTTAAGAGCATGTAAACATTAGTTGTTACAGATAAGATAATCCATTTTATGGTGTGTTTCTGTTTTCATCATATATGACATTGAGGCTTAAAAAAGGCTGCCTTATCTACCATTGTAGATGTCCTGACACTCACAGATCACACCCCTTCATGACCTGAGTGTTACCATATGTCGTTGTGCTTTTAACTCGCAAATTAGAAAATGTAGTCACTTAATTTACATTATTATTCAGGAGGAGATGTGGTTGTTCTTTATGCTTCCCTATATGACGATGTCCGTATGGTTGTTAACCTATCCGGCCGATTTTATTTGGAGAAAGGCATTGAGGAACGCCTAGGGAAAGAATTTCTTGACAGAATAAATAAGGAAGGTTACATTGATGTCACAAACAAGTCAGGTAGCAATTTTGTGTACTGTGTATATAGCTTCTCTTTCGTTGTCATATATTGACTATCCAATGGTTGCAATGTAGGAAATGTTTTATACAGGGTAACAAAAGAGAGCTTGATGGAACGACTGAACACTGACATGCGTGCAACAAGCCTCTCCATTAGCAAGGAATGCAGGTCAGGAAACTACTTGAGGAATGAACTACCTTCGTATTCCAACTACCAACTGAAACAAGGGGCACCATGGCACCGACATGACACATTTACCTTCATTTAAATAGTCATTCCCATGCATTCCCAGGATTGAAAACATTAAATATCTCGTGTTTGCAGTTGGGCATAGGTTTCATATTGTGCTAGAATAAACCCCGCGTGTTGCAGATATCAGGCAATTAATTTACTGTCTTTATTCAGCTTCTTCATAGTTCATGGTTCTGCTGATGAGATCATTCCCGTGGAAGATGCATATGAGTTTGCAAAGCATATACCGACCCACAAACTGTGTGTCATCGAGGGAGCAGATCACTGCTACACCAGACATCGTAAAGAACTTTCTGATGCTGTAGTGGGTTTCATTACATCCAACAAGGTACCGAAGAATGCCATTTTATATGTCGTTCTCTGCAGTATCGCTTCTGGTTTGACAGCGCCTTTAATTTCACTGCGATGATTGATTTGGCAGACCAGTGATACCACGCTAGAAGATCAATGAATTCTGATGGATTTCTGCTGTAGGATTTTGTACAACAGTTCTGCTTTACAGAAGCTCCCCTCCGAACAACACCACAATTCTAGATCATGGTCATTCTACTTCTTAGTTCCGGGATATAATAAGCAATAAAGCATTGCAAGGCTTTAGGTTTGCGTTATTTATTAACTAAATAGTTGGAAAAGTATGCTGTAAAATATGTGGAACTATTATAGAGAGGTGTTTTGAACCTTGGGCTGTGTGGACTGAAATTTTCATTTTAAAAAAATCACATCCAAAGTGTAATAATTTCTGAAAACAATTCCACATGTACATATGAACGTATTGATATGAGATACTAACATGCAAGCTATACAAATAGAAGACAAAATCATGGATTTTTAATAGCAAATGAATTTGTCTCTTTTTTGTAGATCGATGTTCTGCTAATATTACACATGGATGTGGTTCCAAAAAAAATGGAACTTCAAAATTTTATTTTTGATCTCTTCTTTTGAGAAGGAGCTCAAAGAGCCCTAGCTCCAAAATGCATTTTGTTGACACTTAGATTTTTGCTTGGACAAAAGCTCAATTAAGATGAGTTAGTCCACAAAGCGCAGTTCATAATTTCTTACCATAGGGATCCCATGTGGTAAATTAATCTTTGATATTTATCTTGGTAAACCTTCATCTTTACTCCACGATCTATCATGATCTCAATTCTCGTATGACCAAGTATCATATTGGTCATCGCATGGTATTGTTCGTTATCCATCACATGCTCTTAAGAGGCACAATGAATCCTTCACTTGAATTACTTGCTTCAACACTTGACCAACCATGACTCAACATACTCATCATGATCTCATATTTAAGCTATATATAGACTTATTGAAAGGATCGATATAGTTGACTAGAGGGGGGGTTGAATAGCCAACTAACAATTTTTAGTTTTTCTTTACCAATTTAAACTTTGCATCAAAGTAGGTTGTCTAGATATGCAACTAGGTGAGCAACCTATATGATGCAACAACAATAAGTACACAAGCAAGCAAGGGATGTAACACAAGATAAGCTTGCACGAGTAAAGGGATGAGATAACCAAGAGTGGAGTCGGTGAAGACGAGGATGTGTTACCGAAGTTCATTTCCTTTGAGAGGAAGTACGTCTTCATTGGAGCGGTGTGGAGGCACAATGCTCCCTAAGAAGCCACTAGGGCCACCGTATTCTCCTCACGCCGTCACACAATGCGAGATGTCGTGATTCCACTATTGGTGCCCTTGAAGGCGGTGACCGAACCTTTACAAACAAGGTTGGGGTAATCTCCACAACTTAATTGGAGGCTCCCAACAACACCATGAAGCTTCACCACAATGGAGTATGGCTCCGCGATGACCTCAACCGTCTAGGGTGCTTAAACACCCAAGAGTAATAAGATCCGCGAGGGATTAGTGGAGGGAATCAAATATCTCTTGGTGGATCTGTAGATCTAGGCCTTCTCAACCAATCCCTAGGAGATCAACAAGTTTGATTGGCTAGGGAGAGAGATCGGGCGAAAATGGAGTTTAGAGCAACAATGGAGCTTGGGGGGGAAGAGGTAAGTCAACTCGGAGAAGAAGACTCCCCTTTTATAGTGAAAGAACAAATCCAACCGTTATCCACCAACTCAGCCTGCGACGCACGGTACTACCGCACCGGAGACGCGGTACTACCGCCAGGGCCCGCGGTACTACCGCAAGGCACTGCAGTACTACCGCCCACACAACAGTATCCAAAACAGCCCTGATGCGATGAAGCAGAGGGCGGTAGAACCGCTGGCGCGGTACTATCGCTCCCCCTTGCAGTACTAGCGCAAGGCAGGGATAGTTCAGATTTGGGAAGGCACGGACATATAAAATACATCCGTGGCAACTTCCACTGAGTTTAGATCTATGCAAAAATCCGACACAGTAGTACCGGAAGCCAGGAGCAGTACTACCGCGTAGGGTGCGGATGTAAAAAAATTACATCCGCCCCTACTTCTGCTCGTGTTGCTGAGCCAGACCTGAGGCCACGGTATTACCGGGTCAGAGAAGCGGTACTACCGCGAGCACCTGCGGTACTACCGCGCCCAAGGCCGGTACTACCGCAGGGGCCTGCGGTACTACTGCTCTGAGGAGCAATACTACCGCATGCCCTAGTTCAGCAACACTCGAAGTCAATCATTTTGCAGAGATTCGGAGAAACGAAGAATGCTCCAAAGAGCCAAAGGAAAGGTGGTGCAAAAGGAACAGACGTGTACGATTCCACCAAACCTTTCCAACGCGGACCCCCTCTTAATAGTATGACTTTCCTACGACTCAAACCACCGAAAAGAAACGTAGAGAAACGCCATCCTCAATAGTCTTCGAGGGGCACCAGATCATCTTGTGCCTAGACATGATATATCTGAAATCTCAATGCACACGATTAGTCCGCAAAAGCATTGTCATCAATCACCAAAACTACTAAGGGATAAATATGTCCTTAAATCTCCCCCTTTTTGGTAGATTGATGACAATACGGGATTTGCACATAGGAATATAAATAAAGCATAGGCAAACCCAACATATATAAAATATAGACGGGCTCCCCTTAGATGTGTGCACTCTGGAGATGTGCTTTGGACTGCACGGTACACATACTAGTATCAACACCCCCCTATATTTTATAGACGAGACAAATCTTACAAAGGAGTAACTAATTGTAACGCCCTTGATGCGGCTATATATCCCACGTGTCGAAGCACGACTTAGAGGCATAACCGCATTGAAAGCAATGTCGCAAGTGAGGTAATCTTCACACAACCCATGTAATACATAAGGGAAAGATACATAGTTGGCTTGCAATCGCCACTTCACACAATACATGAATAAAGCATTACATCACCCAGATACAATCAAGGTCCGACTACGAAATCAAAATAAAAGAAGACTACCCCAAATGCTACACAGATCCCCGATCGACCCCAACTGGGCTCCACTACTGATCAACTAGAACGAAACAACACAAATGACAAGATCTTCATGGAGCTCCTCCTGAGCTTGGTTGCATCATCTGCACGGACTCATCGGCACCTGCAAGCTAGTTTTGAAAGTATCTGTGAGTCACGGGGACTCAGCAATCTCACACCCTCGCGATCAAGACTATTTAAGCTTATTGGTAAGGTAAAGGTATGAGGTGGAGCTGCAGCAAGCGACTAGCATATATGGTGGCTAACATACGCAAATGAGAGCGAGAAGAGAAGGCAAAGCATGGTCGATAAAAGTATGATCAAGAAGTGATCCTAAAACAACCTACGTCAAGCATTACCCCAACACCGTGTTCACTTCCCGGACTCCGCCGGAAAGAGACCATCACGGTAACACACGCGGTTGATGCATTTTAATTAAGGTCAACTTCAGGTTTTCTACAACCGGACGTTAACAAATTCCCATCTGCCCATAACCGCGGGCACGGCTTTCGAAAGTTCAAATCCCTGCAGGGGTGTCCCAACTTAGCCCATCACAAGCTCTCACGGTCAATGAAGGATATTCCTTCTAGCGGAAAGACCCGATCAGACTCGGAATCCCGGTTACAAGACATTTCGACAAGGTAAAACTAAACCAACAACACCGCCCGAATGTGCCGACAAATCCCGATAGGAGTTGCACATATCTCGTTCTCAGGGCACACTCAGATGAGACATCCTACGAGTAAAACCAAACCTCAAGCTGCCCCGAGGTGGCCCCGCAGTCTGCTCGGTCGGACCAACACTCAGAGGAGCACTGGCCCGGGGGGGTTAGAATAAAGATGACCCTTGAGTCTGCAGAACCCAAGGGAAGGTGGTAGGTTGTTAGTGCAAATGGTAAAACCAAGGTTGGGCATTGCTGGAGGAGTTTTATTCAAGGCGAACTGTGAAGGGGTTCCCATTCTCACCCAACCGCGTAAGGAACGCAAAATCCGGGAACATAACACCGATATGACGGAAACTAGGGCGGCAAGAGTGGAACAAAACACCAGGCATAAGGCCGAGCCTTCCACCCTTTATCAAGTATATAGATGCATTAATTAAATAAGAGATATTGTGATATCCCAACAAGTAAACATGTTCCAACAAGGAACAACATCTCCATGTCCCAACAAGGAACAAACTTCAATCTTCACCTGCAACTAACAACGCTATAAGAGGGGCTGAGCAAAGCGGTAACATAGCCAATCAACGGTTTGCTAGGACAAGGTGGGTTAGAGGCTTGGTTCAACAATATAGGAGGCATGATAAGCAAGTGGTAGGTATCGCAACATAGGCATAGCAAAAGAGCGAGCAACTAGCAAGCAAAGATAGAAGGATTTCGAGGGTATGGTCATCTTGCCTGAAATCCCGCAAGGAAGAAGAACGAGTCCATGAAGAAGACAAACGGACGAAGTCGAACGAATCCTCACAACACGACGTTATCGGAACCAACCTGAAGAAGCAATACCGGAAAGGAGCACACAACATAGTAAACAACCAACACATAATCATGGCATGATGCACAATCAAGTATGATGCATGTCCGGTTTAAAGAGGCATGGCATGGCAAAATGCACAAGCAACCCTACAAATTAAGTGGAGCTCAATATGCAACGAGTTGCATATTGACGAAACACCACGACAAGTTATTTAGTTCGATCTCGTTTATGTACCCAACAATATTAAATGTTGTTAAACATGGCAAGAGGGTGAAGCAAAAGAAAACTACCTATCTAGGCAAGTTTAAATGAGGCCGGAAACAACGAACAACAATTCCGGTAAATCCCCATGTGCATATATTAGGTTTGGTCCTGTTCTGCCCTAAACCATATTTTATAGTTATTAAACATGCAAGATGATGCCACCATGTTAAACTAGGCAAAATTCTACCCCATTAACATATAAAGTTTGTTAAAAACGGAGCTACGGTTATTTAGTTATGAATTAAACCATTTTAGCATGGCATATGGAC